AAAAATTACAATATTAATAAAAGTAGTAGGTAAAATTGACAAAGAAAAAAAAATGTATTTATGTATAATGAGTAGTCATCGTTTTTATATTGTCCCAACAATTATTGCTATCTTTGAGATAAAGTTGCACCATTGTGGTGACATACTGACACATCACTGGAAGTGACTAATGCACTCGTAATCATCCGGGATAATGATAAAACATTTCAATGATCACATGAGAACTTCAAGCATTTAATTTTTATGCCAAAGTAATAATTGTACAATATAGTAAAACTGAAAACACCATATCATATAAGTATTGATGCTTAAAATATATTTTTTCTTTTATATGTCTGTATATTTTATGGTGATCTAATATTAAATGTTTTACAATATAAAAAATAAATACATATTTCWACACTTTCCTCAACCTACCAAACATATACGTGGAATGTCCCAAAAATAAGGTTTCAATGCTCCTATAGCCAGAAATAAATTAATTTTTTAAAATTTGGAAACACCGTTGTATAGTGTCGGTCGAACCTTTTCCAATGAGAGGCGTCTCAACTAGATCCAATGTTTAGATTGCGTCTGACGRCTGACACACATTTAAGATGGACGTTTCTATGTCGGCCACCACCACCTCTAATACTGTGTATGCTCAATGCAAACTTTGAGCCTTTAATCGTTTTTTGCATTCAACGGGTKAAACACCAATATCCATTAATCGAAACCTTTGTCAAACATATGAGACAGGTTGCATGTGGCATGTCTTTAAAAAATGTTAGAAAGTGGTGAAGTGATGCAGATATTCTCGCTCACCGAAAAAAATAAAGTTTAAAGTAATGYAGTCTGCGTTAAAAATCATGACCACTGTTTTTGGGACAGGAAAGGAGTTCTTTTGATTGAGCTTATGCCAACTGGGACAACCATTAATGTAGCTTCGTATTGTGAGATTTTGAAAAAACTTCGCAGAGCCATCCAAAATCGAAGACGAGGCATGCTGACGAAGGGTGTTTGTCTATTGCATGACAATGCCCGACCCCACGTTGCCCGTGACACAAAAGCACTCTTGGAAAAGTTTGGTTGGGATGTGATCTTCCACCCCCCTTATAGCCCAGATCATGCCCCATCCGACTACCATTTGTTCTTGAACTTAAAGAAACATTTGGGAGGAAAAACGGTTAGAGACAGATGAAGAAGTAAAGACAGAAGTCACCCAATATCTAAATAAGGAGCTGGTGACAATTTTCCATGAGGCTGGCATACAAAAACTTCCAGTGTGCCTTGAAAAATGCATCYAAGTAAATGGCGATTATGTRTAAAAATAACTCATAAGTACTGTATGTATACATTGTATACCTATGTAAACCATATTTTGAATAAAGCTTATWTTTCGATTATTATAATTATGGAGACTTTACTTTTGGGACACGCCTCGTAATTGTGTTTTACTRTTAGGGAATCTGTGATCTATTCCATTAAGCCATAACATAAGGAAGGAAGGCTTAAACAAATGTATTATTTATGTTGACGTTCAATTGTTGTAATGAATTATTCTAAAATTTTCAATATTCATTTATATTAATCTATAACTTTATTGAGATCTATATTTGACAAATTACATGACTATAGTCATTTTATTTTTTTATGCTTATGATTGGTATATAACTAAATTCTAAAATCTAAATTTGTACATTTTTTCAATTTTAAATCTTGGATTTGAGGTAGTTTTAAGTACCATTTGTAATTTTTTATTCTTATAAATTATAATTAAGTTTTAATATATTATTTTAATTATAGTTGCAGGAAATTATGCGGATAAATTAATTGATCGTAGATGGTCAGTTTTAAGTGTTCGACGACTAATGACTACTATAGGTCTAGTAGGACCAGCGATATTTTTAATTCTATTTTGTACAGTGAATAGCTTAGCAGCAGCCATAATGTAAGGATGACTTATATTATATTTTATAATCAATTTATTACTACAAAATTAAATTATTTTATATGGTAGATTCATTTCCATATCAATGGGACTATGTGCTTGTAATTCAGCTGGACATTTAAGTAATCATGCTGAAGTTGCTCCTAACCATGCTGGAATTACATTTTCAGTATCCAATACATTGGTAACTTTGATTTAATATTTTGTGTACATAAATTATAAATGTTGTTATTTTGAATCATCTTAAAAGAATTATAACTATTAGTTCAAATTTAATACTTATCATTAATWTAAATATTTACATTTTAAAATAGTTTTATTTAACTTAATTTTTTTGAAAATATCTTAGGCTACCATACCAGGAATACTATCTGGTCCTCTCACAGCAGAACTTGTGACTGCATCTCACGGCCGTTGGTTTCCAGTTTTCATATTAGCAGCTGCGATAAATTTCACTGGCTCAATTATTTATTGCAGTCAAAGTTCAACATCAAAAATATTGTAATTAACAAATTAAAAAAAAAAAATATACAGAGTATTTATTTTTGTTAATTCGTTTTAGAGTTACCAATTAAATAAACTATATTTATTGTTTATATATTATACATATTATTATAAATATTAATTGAGAATATAAATGTTTATTTTTATTAATATTATGTTTTCATTACATTACAAATAATAATTAATTCTGAACCTATTGGTTTGATTTATGACATATATATATATATACATATAAAAATGATTCACCGAAATGGCAATGTACTGTCTCGTCAATAAATATAAATTTTAGTTCTTGCCTATATATTGGTAGTTGATAACCCCTACCCTTACCGCAAAAATGTCTAGGATCATTGTTAAATATGAATTGTTTTGTATTCATTTGTATGATAAATTAATTTTAATTTATTATTATATTATCTGTTTTTGTTCTTAGAAAAATTTGACAAAAATTTTGCTCAATTATTAATAATACACCATAAAATCGTAATATAACTTATTTGACTCTGATTTRGTAGGTAGTGAACTAAATAACTATCGGATTTCATTGTCATATCCAATACATAATACTAACTTACCAGGCATAAAACAGCTATAATGTATTTAACTTATTACCTGGTAAAAATATATAGAAAATTCGTAAAAAAAAAGGTCATTGCTGATTGGCTATAAACGCGGAAATGTTTGAATTGGTATCTGATATATTTAGGTTGTTATGCGTATTTTGATTTTGTTGCGTGTATATTAAGAAGCATTGTAACATATTTTTAATTAAATACAAATTAAAAATTTGTATAAACATTAATTGTGCTGAATATTTGCTGTTTTAGTTTTCTAGGTAGGTACATGAATAAGTGATTAATGATTACAATTACCACGGTTGCTAAGGGAACAAACAAGTAGTATAATAGTACCCTAAGTCTTAGAAGACATGGGGTTCTAATACTTGTCCATAAATTATTATTTCTATATTATAGATTTGTGTAAATACTTGACTCATTTAACTATAAATAAAAATAGTCATTAAAATCTATTACATAACAAATTAATTTTCGCAAAGAAATACTATGGTATTTAAGGTAAGTAAATAATGCCAAAAATATGTTTATCATTATGAAAGGGAGTCTAATATATCTTTGCTTTTAAYTTTTTTAACATTTTTTTTAGAAGTTGTTCTAAATTTTATAACATTTTTATACAGTGAAGTGTGACATGGTAGCAACTTTTTTTTATAGATTTACAGAGCACATGCAGTTTTACTTTAACAGACTTTTTAATGTACTTTTCTAGTATAACACTTTGAAAAATCAGAAAGTGTAATTAATGTCTTATATAACACATYCAYACAAAAAATATAGACTAAAAAATTAGTTCTATTGTAGCTACAATTTTAATGCAGCTGTAAAATATGAATAAATACATTTTTTGGTATGTTATATGATTACAATAAGTAATATTACATTTTAATACTATGATAAAATTTACTTTTTTTTATTTTACTTCAAATAAAAGTCATGGCCAAAAAATGTGTATATATTTTTATTAGCTAAAAATATAAAAATTAATATAGCTCAACAATAAAATTACAAGTATATACAATATACAATAAAAAATAACAAGTACAAAGTACAGGAGAACAGAGAAAAAATTTAGTACAATAAAATAAAATTAAGAATCCCGTATTCTCAAAAAGTTACAATAACATTGTAATAATGTGTCTAGAAAAAGCATTTAAAATAATTTCTGGTTAATATTTATTTTTAATACACCAATTGGAGGCCTACGTGTAATGTACACCTTCAAACCCAATAGTTACGGCACAGCTATAACTGCTAGGACTACTACATGCTAAGGACTACAATTCAGGAATATTTTAAACTATAAGCCCTGTATGGGTATACAGGGTGTATCAGATAGAACTGACTAAAAAAAAAA